ATATATATATATATACATATATCTTCTTACCCTGACACTGAAAAGAAACAGCTGTAAGAAAGGAGGTGACAAACAATAGAAACTAGTAGAACTGAAGCCTGTGCGGCTTGTTAGGTGCAACTCGTTGTAACATGTCAAATATACCTTCATGACTTCTGTCTCTAAGACGGCATCCAGGAAGAGATTAATCTCTGTGAGCTCCTCTGTTGTGACCTGTTCAGCCACCCCTGTGGACCGCTCATAGTTGTCCAGGAGTTTGGTGAACCCTGCAGACACACATTAAGTTAATTTATTACAGTGAAATCTAGAGAAAAAGAAGAGAACATTTTCTTTCTGTCTGCTGCAGAGACACTTACGGGAGAAAGTGGTTGTGTTCTTCAGTTTGTTCTCATTAACGTTGGAGAACAGAGGCTGTGAAGCGTGATCCTGCACAACATGGCTGCCCTGGTTTACATAACTGGCTCTGCCCTGGACACAGTTCAAACACAAAATATATCTTTGTAAAACCAGAAAACAGAAGATAAGAGCTGTATGAATAGGAATATGCACCGTACCTGAACAGAGATTGTGTAGTCTACCCCAGGTGTCATACGATTCACATCCAGTCTCCACAACTCATTGAAGATATTGGATAGTTCCTGGTTTACAGCTGGTCTGTGACACAAAGTCAGGCAGTAGAAACACAGAAAACTGACAAATATTGGCAAACACAATGACTCTTGATGAATGCTCCCACTGGTTACTGTACCTTGATGCATCCAGTCCACTGACACACACAATAAGGAGGACAAGGACTCCACAGAACCTGTACAACACATTGACATATTTTCTATAACTACAGCAAAAAGTGAAAGAAAACCAAATATTTTCTGACTTCATCTGGTCTATTGTCTAACATTAAAAACACTTCTCGGTAAACAGTCATAAAAGTGTTATAAACTGTAACAAATGAAGCCAAACTGAGTTTTTTGGCCAAAAATAAAAATACACACCCTGCAGCCATGATGCCTTTCTTGTAAGCTTCCTCTCCTTCGGCTCAGACTACAGTGGAGTACTCTACTGTCCTATATGGAGTCTGTTTCAGTCTCCACCCGCACTTCAGATCCTGCAGGACGATGCCTGCTAACTGCGCATGTGCAAATCTGGACAGACTCACTTTGACATCCATGTTTTTAAGTGTACAGCCACCAGATGTCGCTTCATGACGTTTAACCACTTATATAGTATTATATAGTATAAAGTATTAGTTCATTTCTTGTTATTGGCACAATTCAGTAAATAAACAATCTGTTTGTAACACTCCTGGTTTTCCTTTGTCTTTCAGAGAGAGGAGGTGGAGAGACAAGTGTAAAATATTTAATATAAAAGGTAAATATCAACTAATTTAATGTTATTGTCAGAACTTATTAAGTAAATAATAGGTGATGTTAGTTGTCCAACTAAGTAGCTGGATTACCCAATTATACCAGATAAAACAACTGGGTGCAGAGAGGTGATCTCAATAAGTTGGAAACTGAACATTCATCTAATGTTCAAAAGTGTTTTTTCTTTACAGCTGACAAAAAAGGAGAACTTCAAAAGCCCTCAAAAGGGAAACATCTGTACAATGACTGTTGGCAAACAGTGATAAAAATATGCTTTAAATAAAAGTTAACATCTGGTTCGTTTTTAAGGTTTATGTTTCATCTCACTTTGGCAATTTACATCAAAAGAATGACGCAGAATCAAAAGACTATTGTATTTTCTACATACCATTCTACACCTTTTTTATTATACAAACTTCAAACACAAACCTTAAAAACCGTTTGGGTAACTTCAGAATACGTAACAGTCTCTCCTCTCAAACTTAATAGATTTGTTTTATTCTTCTCACTTTAACTGCTGGGCTCCATAAAAGCCCCATTCCCCGTTAATTAAAGGGTCATTTTACAGTCGAGGCACTGACAATACCAGCTCAGTTTCAGTGAAATGCTAGTCGTCTAATTCAGCTTTGAAATCTGAAGTCTTAATTACAATATAATTACCTCCCAGTTGTTTGTTCATTCTTCTGTACTTCCTCATCTGTTACATGTATTTTTTTATTGCAGGTCCCAGATCAAAGTTGAGTTAAACTGACGCCTTTAATTTGTTGCCTGTATGTGTAAACTATTCACAATTAAAGACTCTTTAAACAGCCATGTTTTTAGGAAGCATGTAGTTTACGTTTCATGATTCAGCAGCAAAATCAGCAACTTTCTCAGCTCAACTCTTCCGTCCTCAGTTTGTCACACACTCGACTGAGTCCATGTGAGGAAACAACAAACTGATTTAAATTATTTTATTCATCTTAGAAATGGATAAACGTAAAAAACAACAACATAGTCTATCTTCTAAGGTCGATGGGTTGCATTACAACATTATTCTTATCTCACAAATACGACTTTTTCCAAAAATAACTCTGTGTCAGCCAACATGGTTCCATTAAAAATCAATTTATAGTAAAAATAAAATAAACAAGCTCTTATATTAATGCGTTGAATTTCAATACCATGCAATGATATTCATTAGGCTATGATATGTACTGGTGCAAATGCATGTAGGATATTACTGTCGAGTGAAAAACCTGTAAGATGTTCAGCGTAGGATAAAATATATGACAATTTTAGTTTTGTAGAAAACATAGCAGCTGTTTCGGAGTTATTACTTTACACTAACTTCTAAAAAATGGGACAAATCTTCTCATCTCTTTTTTTCTCCAATATCTCTACAGTCAGAAGGCAATTTAAAAAGATATATATTAAAATCTATATTGGCGTTTTTTAGCGGGTTGACACTTGAAATAACTCCAGAAACCAGCTGGCAGGCAAGCAGTGGTGTTGCCCCAAATGTTCCCTCCGTCATCCGACGACAGTAATGGAGGCAAAGTTCAGGAGTAATAGTGGCTTACTGGACCGTTTGAAACTGCAAATAAGAAGGACACTGTAATACTTTTGGCTCATCTCTGAATGCAACACTAAAAAAAAGAAATGTGGGAGCATTCCTGGGAGTCTGTTGAGACAAGTCTGTGTGCGAGTGGAGAGAGGGGGTTGGCACAGAGTTTCATTCACAGCAGGACCAGGTCTCGTGGCGCTGACAGTCTCATGCGTTGGAGTCATCGTCCGTTACACTGGGGTTCGGTGAATTTGAATTCTCTTTGAAGAATTCGTCATCTTTTAGCATGCTCTGGCAAAAGAAAGACAGGAAAAAAACAAACATTAATTTGAAGCTCCTGAAACAGTCAGGGAAGTACAACCTTTAGACTCTTACCGTCAGGTTTTGAATACCCTCAGAGAAAGCTCCGATCTGTCTCACAGTTCCCTCAGAGTCCTCCATCTGTGAAACAACAAGCTGCTTTTAAACTCAATAAACAGAGACCAAAATGGAGTAAGTGGATTTCAGATATACATGTAATTAGATATATAGTTGTTCATGCGGTTTAGTGATTTGAAGAACCAGCTCACCTGTTCTAGCCTGTCGAGGTCGTCCTCGTAGATTTGGAGCTCGAAGCCTTTCTGGAAGCTTCGTCCCTTTGGCATCTCCACGTCCATCGGACACACGTACTCCTCGCTCTCCTCCTGCTTCTTCTTCCTCAGGCTGCCAAAGTTACCAAATGACAGTTTCCTTGGCTGGTGTGAGCGAGGGGAGAGAAGAGAAAGAAAATACAGCCCATCATTTATCTTTTAACAAACAACTCTTCTTTTCAATAACATAACAGCAAGTTCTTATGGCTTCACAATTGCAGTGCAACGTAAAAGTTCAAGAGTCTACTAATCAAAAATAGTTTGAGCTTGAAAAGTTTGCATAGTTGCGTTTTAGTCTGTTTATTGTTTATTTTATTAGAATTTTCTGTTTATAATTTCCCAAAACCCTTCCATAAAAACACAAACAAACAAAAACGGGGGGGAAGGAACTCAAGCGTTACCTTGACCTTGGTGGTGGCAGTAAGCAGAGTGTAGTCTGGGTTTTCAAGACACTCCTGTTTGAGCTGCTGGGCCTCCGAACCAATGAGCAGGTTGAAATGTGTGGCGAGGTGGCGGCGCAGCAGCGTCTTGTTGGGCGGGATGTTCAGCAGCAACGCCATGGTCTCCACGTTGAACCGCGGCTCCAGAACCTGAAGAGAGAGAGAAAGAGAAAGAGAAAGAGAAAGAGAGAGAGAGAGAGGAGACGTTTTAGGAGTGGATACTTTCAGGAGAGAATCTCTGTTTCCCAGGATGACTGAACCCTGGACTGTCTCACCATCAGGCCTCCGTGCACACCACTGCCTCTCAGGTTGGGAGCGTATTCAGCGAGGTCCACCGATCGCAGCCACTCCATCACCCTGTGGTTGGTCCACTGGGAAATCTCTGCTGGAGAAATATTGTTCTATGGGCACAAAGCACAGAAAGAGGATTAAAAAAAAAAGTATGTGAACATACAGCTGCGCATTACGAGATGAGTGTGTCAGACAGAACAAACTGGCTCAACTCTGTCAAATTGTTTCTCAGGTGAATGTTAAAGTGAATGCACCTCGTCAGACGGCCTGCGACGCAAACAGTTGGGCTCGTAACTGTTGAGTCGGAGCACTTGGATCGCTCTCTTGATACTGAGGTGATGCAGGACACTCCCCACTTTCAGAGAGAGCAGGTCATCCTGAGGGACAAAAGTTGGACATCAGTGACTTAGTGTAAAATGCAAACAATAAACACAAAGTTCAGCTGGAGTTTCGACAAAGTACAGATTATAAAAGAACAGAAAGAAGATGAAGATAACAGTTTGAGCAGAAGCAGACACTGATGAGACTTCAGCACGGCCCCAAATGGAGGGTGAGACGAGGACATCTCTAGTACAGTTCTCTCTCTCTCTCTCTCTCTCTCTCAATAATCCTAATGTGAGATGGCAGTGGACTCGTCAGACCTACTTCTCCGCAGGGTCTGTGGAGGGAGCGCATGTGTCTTGCCAACACTCACCACTGTCATGTAGTGCAGCATGCGACCGTCCACTCTCCCCTCATCAAACTGGGTCTTATACTGAGGCAGACCGATGTCGTCGAGCCATCCTGAGAGGAAAGGGAAAAAAACAAAGTGTCATGAGAAGGAATTCAGTTGACGGTCAGGGAGTAACAACTGGAAAAAGAAGAGGAGGAATCTTAGACTGGCAGCTGGTACTCACTCGTCACCCAGTTGTAGTCCAGCTTTCCTTTATTGTTCTCCTCCTCTGAGCCAAGGGCCTGCAGAGCCAGCTGCAGCTTCTTTCTGTGCAGCGGGTGTTTGATTCCCAGCTCCTAAAGATCCACAAGGAGGATAAGTATAACACACAACATGCCTGAGTTACAGCGTATTAAGTTCAAACACAGGAATAGTCTGCCGGCTTTACTAGAACGCATTAAATTCTTCTGCTTCATCTCACCCTCTCCAGGTCCTGTTGTGAGGCCTGTAGAAGCGTCTGTCCAGAGGAGATCCATACACGAGCCATGTTCACATAAAGACCCAGACCCTGATCCTGTAGCCAGTCGCACACCTGATCCTTTGACCAGCGTGCAAATGGAGCGTCGACATCACTACGAGAAAGAAAGGAGAATAGGAAAGTCAAAACTTTGAAAAGGGAGCACCCCTATAGCTGCATAAACAGGAAACAAATACTATTTGAAATTGTGAGTATAGAACATTAATTTGTTATCCCGACAAAGACTGCTTCTTCAAAAATCATCACACGATGTCAGAATTTCATTGTATGACTTCATTGAGATCCAAAACACGGAAACCTCAACTTCAGTCTCATTATTCAGGCTGAACGCACTGACTTACTTGCTGACTCTTTGCAGGTCACGAGACCAGCCCAGTCTGGGTCCTGCTGTGGCTCGCACTCCACCCCTCTTGAACTCACCCTCTGGTAGGTTGTCATCCAGGTTAAATGTGGTAGACTGGCTCCTTTTTAGCCTTAACAATAGGAAAATACAGCGATAGTGATTAACCATACAGAACGCATACATATTTTATATATTCCACTATATCCGAAACATTTATATCCATATAATCTGTTTAATTACTTAAAGAGTAACATTTTATTTTAAAGTCTCTACTCACTTTCCAAACAGTTTCTTTATTCCTTTGGACTTTTTCTTGCTCTCTGGGGTCGTAGGGAGCGTGTGGGTGCTATCGCTGTTGGCCGAGCTCTGTGGCAGCCCAGCCAGATCCAGATGGTCGGTGCCCTGTCGCTCTGTTTCAGCTGTACAAAGAAATACCGACAGAAAGATCATTCGCATCGTGAGTATCAGCGGGGTAGACGTGTACAGATCGGTCGAGACAAAGCCGCTGCACTGTAGAGACACAGACAACACTCAGACAGACACATGACGTCTCCTAGGCCTAGACAGGCTGGGAGGTCATGGCGGTAAAAGCGATACCGTCTCTAGTATGCATGCATCAGACACGGCTGATGTCTGACTGAGACTGGAATGAAAAGGTCTCATTATATTAGACAAAAAGGAAGTTTATTAGTGGTTTTGTTTTAGATTTTTAGTATCTGAAGATCCAAATGTATAATTTCTGTTTGATAATTTTGGATCTCGACAGATTCGTGTTTGGCGGAAGCAAAAGAGCGTAAAGAAATACATGCAGGGCACACGAGCAAAGTCAACATACACAACAGAGCGGCTGTATGTTGGATGTAAAAACATTTGTGCAACAGTGGGTAGTGACAAGGGTGTGGCTGTTTCAGCGCTGCAGCTACGGAGACGCGAGATGATAAAAACATGTGAGCTGAATGGATGGGTTTAGAGAAGGCGAACAATGACATAAAATACATCGAGTAGTTTCCTTTGTTTTCTTCAGAGAACTACTGCCCGACAATGAGCTGGGGTCTATACTGTACCTAGCATAGGCGCACTCGCACTCCGGCTGCGGTCTTCATGTGTTACAAAGCACACACAACACACGACAGGGTCCAACAGAAAGAGAACAAGACAAAGGGAAGACATTATGATTGAAGTAACAGGATTGGAGAGGTGGAACAAACAGAGACACACACACATACACAGAACGAAGGGCAGAGAAACAGACTTCCAGAATTAAATGGGGACCACAGTTTGTGTGGGCTGCAAATTATGGTTTTAGTCCATATAGGATATTCCATGGGTGTGGCTTGGGAAAATAAAGAGTTGTCCATGGTGGGGAAAAATCTCACTCTCACTCACTGAGTCAGTTTGTGAAGCAGCTGCTGCATCAGGTGGTTCGCTCTTACCGAGGTTGGGGGTACTGGCTGTCTTCTTGCCCCCACGGATCTTGAAGAAGCCCTTTCCAAAAGATGAACGAGCCTTTCTCGAGCCAAAGCTGTCGTCCTCCGTGGTGGCAGGTAAGGTGGCAGAGGGACTCTTGGGCGGCTTTTCACTGACTGCTTCACTTGTATTCTGAGAGAGCAAAATTATATTCATACATACATGTGGCCTACAAATACTGCTCACGTAAAATATGCTGAACTTGTAGCCAAATATTGTAACTTTTTTCCGCCACTAAAAACGTGTAACATTTACCTTTTCGTTGTTGCTCCTGTCCAGCTGGTCCTGGCTGCCAGTCTTCGTGGTATACTGGCTGCTGAAACGATAAACCACAACGATGCACAGTTCACTCGTGACAGTGAGGGGCTACAGGATATGAACTGCTGTTACACACATCCTCATGTGTAACTTAAAGAAGGCGACTGAGACATTTCTTCACTCTGACTGCAGCAAATGGACAAAACAGAATATAGTGCTGCTCTGTTCTCAGCACTCCTTACACAGAAGTGAGCATTATCTTAACATCAGTGTTACAATATTTACTATTAGGTATGCACGTATAACATATATTCAAAACAATACAGAATAAAGGTGAAACCTGTTAGTTCTCTTATGTCAAAACAGTGGAACAAGATCGAACTGTAATTTAAGAATTTAAGACCTCACGTAGGTCTGATTCTGTTCAAATGTATTATTTTGAAACTAAATTAAACGGAGAGCAGAAAAAAGTAAAAGGTCAGTCTTGCACACTACTGAGCGTTACACTGATGAAGAGATAGCACTGTATTCATGTTAGGAATGGAGAGTGACAGGAAGCAATGAGAGAGACACGACGATCATGTGATGTAACACCACATGTTACTTGACCCGACTAAAGAAATACGTGAATAAGACAGTCAGTGTCCTCACCTATACTGAAAACAAAGCTGCATAAAACCAGATGATAAAACCTGCAACATATTCATTAATGGAAAGAAGTAGTGGCACCAAACTGAAGTAAAAAAAAAACCAAAAACATTGTTTATTATCATGAATACACGTGAAAGAGAAAGTCCCTTCATATTTTACCTTTCTAACTCTGTCGGTGGAGACTCTGATACTCGTTCTGGGTCTGAAGGGCTGGGTGTAGGTGAATGCTCTTCACCAAGTCCATTGAGGCTCTCCAACTACAGATCCCAATGAGAAAAAGAAGACAGAAAACGCCGTGTTTAAAAGTCTTAAAACGTTAACTTGCATCTTCTCCTCGGGCCGTGAAAACACAGCGGTCTAATTCTGCACACTTTGAGAACTGACAGGAGACCTTATTCAGTTAATTGGGTGTCGAAACTTCAGCACTCATTTCACAAGTGTTACATTTATGCCAGCTATTAGTGTTTCACTGAGCATTTTAGAGTTAGAGTTAATGAGATCTGAAGTAGCTTGAGGAAAAATATGAATATATTTTTTTAATTTCCCCCATTAACGACTGTCAGATTGATTTTTAGATGCCCGACCTCATCCGGACTCTTCCTTCTCAGTTGTTCAATATCAGTCAGTTCTTGATTTTGTGACTCCACAGACACGGAGTTGATTGAGAAGAACGCGCTGGATCCATCACCCTGATGCTCGAAATGCTCGTTATCTTTGGTTTTCTCTGTAATAGAAAATAAATAAGATACAAGTGAGAAAGACCGTTTTACTTGGCATTGAGCAACACATACGAAAGCTTTCAGCAACAGTACCAAACGTTTGTATATCACCTCTAGACATATCTTATAACGGTAAGTTTCTATCACTGAGGGAACTGACGACTGCTGACTGAGTGACATATTTTATGAATATTCTACCTTATATACAAAACTGTACAATGAACCCAAATAGTGAACTCAGTAACTGCAGGAAGTTTGTGTAAAATTAGAGATTTGGATGCATTCTGAACAGATTTTTTCCTGTTTAGGGAACTTTTTTTTTAACAATCAAACATATTTACTATTTCTTTTTTGACAAATTCAGTGTTTTTTTTTTTTGTCCCTTGTTTTCTTGTTATTTTATTTTACATTTACATTTCTTCACAGAAGTGAACCAAATTATAAGATACATACAGGTGCATTTCCAGACTAGCTGGGGTGGCACAAGTAGGGCTCTGACTTATGCAGAGGTGGCGCGTCTCAGCTTTCCAGTCATTCCCGATTTATGCAATCCAATACTGTTCAGTGTGCAGAAACATCCAAATACAATACTCACTGCACAACCTCTGCAAGGTGATTTTCATATAGCACGGTTGCCTAGAAAATCTAAATAAAACCGATGATGTGCTGTAAAAATGACTGGCAGTCATTTAAAGTGTACACAATATGAAGTTAAAGGACTAAACCATAGCTGTATTAGTTTGAAAGCAAACTTCATTTAGTACTTCTTTATCTGTGAGATTAAATCAATATTATTCACTAACAGAAGAGTTATCGAACCTTTCTTGCCTTGCACTGACATCACCATGTCTTGAACTTTCTTGTACCGCAGCAGCGACTGCTTCAGTTCCTCAATCTTACGATCCTGCAAAAGGAAAAGACAATTAAAACCAAAGTAAGGAAACATTTTCAGAAGGAGGAACCGAACTTGGTCAAATGTACCTTCTCTTCATTGGCTGCCATCAACGATTCAACTGCCTTTTTCATTCTCTGCACTTCCACGTCTAGTGAGGAAAGAAAAATGATTATAGACATATACGTATACGTGGGGTTGGAGAACAGGCCTGAACACACAGACTGCAACGGGAATATTTAATACATTCAGACCATACAGGCTGCAACATTACTGACTGTCCAGTAACATCACAGCCACAGTCTTTGCTTTTTTTAGCCGTCTTTCAAATTGATACACCTCGTCTTGTGTGAACAGGTGTTACATATTTCACTTTGGTAGAACATTTTCACTTTTGAACGCACACTCTGCTACACGGCTCTGTGAGCAGTCAACAACGACAGTAACAGTCCTCGTGATCCTCAGGTTTATTATCTCAGAGTAACTAAAGTAACAAGAAACTAAAACATTCGAGTCAGTGCTTTTTAACTTAACCAATAAATCATATTAATCATTTTAAAATGAATATAGAAGTAGTTATCTAAACTACAGCACTGTATGTGCAGAGTCATGATGAGGGAGTACTGAACGAAAAATGAATTTGTTCTACGTAAGTGAAAGATCACCGATGGATGAAGGCACAGACACAAAGACAGCACTCACAACAGAGATATTGTAACAACACTGAACATGACAACATCGCAGGTTAGCAGGGCACACACTGGTCGTCGGTGTGAGCAGGGGAAGGTTTAGAGGAGAGACACTGAGGGGTACAGGAGGTGATTATTGTTGGAGGACATGAGGCAGGAGAATGAGAGAGCAGCCTGAACGGTTATGACAAACAATTCATTCCTCATTCCTGCTGAAAACACAAAGCAGACATTCCTTGCTGCTGTTCCAGGTTGGACGTTACAAACACTTTGGTTCTCTGCAGTTCAAAGTCCTCGAAGGTTGACAACGGTGGAGTGGATTGGTGACGTGGTGCTCTGTGGTCAGGGTATTAGCGCTCCAATGGGTTATAATGGACAAGCAGAGTTCAGATGGCTCATGCTCGTTCATGCAAACAGGGGTTGAGATGGGTGCAGTAATAAGTGCAATAATATACAAAAGCATAAAAACCCCCCTTACGTTTTTCTTTCAGCCTCTTTCTAAGAGTTTCATCTGGATGAGAGACTAAACAGGACAAAGAATTATGAAACAGAAACTGGTTGGTTGCAGATTCTGACTTCTTGTGAAAACTAAGCCTAGTGCTTCGCTAATTAAACAGATATTACCACTCCATCATACGAGATAAAGTTTAAACATCATGCATGCTCATCTTCAGTAAGGCTTGTGATTCAACTGGCTTTCCCACCTCTCTCTGCGGGATCTGCACTGCTCGAGGCGATGGCTTTGAAGCCTGTCTCATCCTGTAGTCTCCTCATCTCTCCGTCTTTGCCCTCCAGCTGCCTCCTCAGTATGGCTAGTTCCTCCTGTCCAACAGAGGACAACAGTGAGAATACTTCCTCCACACAGAAGACACAACCTCCCCACCCGACTCCACACTACAAACAAACCACAACACAAAAAGGTTCACAGAGGCTGACGAGGCATTCAGGCACGCAGGACACACCTGCTCTGAAGGTTAACGTGAGGTGTGCGGGGAGCACTGAGGTACAGGAGCCGTTATTAAAAACATGTTTTAGTGACCACAAAAGGAAACAAGAATGGAGACGGACAAATTGTACAGGCGTTTTAATAAAGATGATCAGAAAAAAGGAAATCAGTGGGAAAAGTGTAAAGAGGGATAAAGAAAGACAAACAGAACTCTTGACAAAAACCCCAAATTAAAGCATACCTGTGGTTTTAAAAACTGGTGCAGACTTAAGGAAGTGGTATTTCTTTCTTTTTTCATTTTACTATACTGCACAGTTCAGTAAATTCATGATTTCATTGTTTGCAAAATGACATCACTTTGCCTAAAATGGTCAAAGACAGAATTGGCAAACCAGTTTTAATGATATTTTCCTTTAAAAATAAAAACAGAAGAGGAGCCAAAGGGAGAGGTCAAAAACCATAATCATACAGCAAGCAGAACAGTCATCCTGAGAAAAGCCAACCTTCACAGCCTGGAGTTTGTGCTCCTTCCTCTGTTTCTCAAACTGCATCTGGCCCATTTTGATTTTCAGGCTAGAAAGCTTGGCCATTACCGACTAGCAGTAGAGAGACAAACCGAGGAAGAGAGAGAGAATAGAGATGCAAGAAGTAAAAGATAAAAGAAGTCAAGAAGGTGGAACACCCAAGACTCTAACCATGATATTTATTTAATATAAAAACACATAAAATAGACAAAGTTTCAAAGAGGAGTTTTACTCTCTCTGAGTAGCAACTGCAAAGGTGAATCCCTTCGTACACATAGATCATCCAACACCCTCACGTCCAATGAATAGGGGCTCCTCAAGATCAGAGTCGTAACAATCCTACATAACTAAATTCAGAAGCTTAAAAACAGCCACCAGAATCTTTTAAATCATGAATAAAATGAATAAATCACACCAGGAGCTGTTTACAGAAGCAGAAGGAAAGTCTAACCTGAAAGAAGGTGGCATGTTCTGCTAAACTACCGCTAACTCAGTTAATAAAAATAATAATAAAAAGGGTTCAGCTAGAGGACACAGCTTCTGAAGATACATAAAGGAAAGAATAAAATGTTAGTCATGAATAGTTTGTCATATAAACACCGAGCGTGTGCAAACTTTCCCGTGACGACCCACCTTTGTAGATTTAAGTTTCTTTTCGTACTGTAGTTTTTCACTCTCCAGGTCTGTCAGTCTGTACCGCAGTTCATTAATTTCAAGAATCAAATCCTAAAAAGACACATCGCAGAATTAAAACAGCATTCAAACAGTTACTTATTTTTTTGTTACACTTCTAGCTGTGGTATTTGAACCTAAAGTTTATTTTCCATTAACCAATCAAACATGATTTAACTCAAACAGTAAACACACTCTATAAAACTCTAAATACGTTTGAAAGGACTGAATTCCTCGGAGAGTCGGTGCTTCAGAGCAGCGGCAGTGAAAAAAACAAGAGGAAGTTGCTTGTAGAAGAGATGTGATTTATGTGCAGTGAGGCGGAACATGGACAGCGGCTTTTTTGTTCCAGTGGGGTGGAAGAGATGGCCGCGCTGCTGCAACAACAACATGACGTGTTTGAAAGCTTTCCAAGTATTCTGCATGGTTCATCTGGGAGCAGAAATCTCCCCATCTATAGTAAACATGATGTCCAACAATGACTGACACCTTAAAGAAGCATTTCACCCGTGGAAACATTCATCTTTATTGAAAGTGGGTTATATATGTAGTCGAAATGTAACATACATTTTGAATTTGGTGCCTATTTGACCGAGAAAACAGTGTTTGTAGTCTCACCCCCTCT